AGGAGGTGTAGAACCGGGTGGTGTAGAACCAGGAGGTGTAGAACCAGGTGGTGTAGAACCGGGTGGTGTAGAACCAGCTGGTGTCTCTACCCTCCTGGTTCTAGTCAGATCTCCAGCTGCAGCTTCTGGTCTCAGTCTGACCTGCTGCAGGAATCAGAGCCACTAAATCCTGGATGAGTTTCTCTGGTCGGAGACTTTCGTCCTCTGGGCCTGAATGTCCTGCAGCTGCTGAAGGTCCACTGAGGAACCGGCTTCATGTGGCTCTGCAGCTTCATCGCTGTAGCTGCTGTTCAAGCGGAGCTGCAGTGTGACGGATACGTGTCAGTGGACTAAACGACAACACAGAAGTAAAGTAAGATAACTGAGTGTAGGCCTGCTTTGTGTGTGTCGCCTCAGTGAGAAGCATCAGGACTTTACTAAGTCACCCAGCTGCCAGACCAACCTCGTATCCGTCATCGTCTAACCTTTAACCTTGTACTAGGTGAAATCCTCCCAGTGTTTCTCTGCTAGTTTCTACAGAAAACTGAACTGTGGTCCTCCCACGCTCACCTGCGGCCCGTTTCCCTGTAAGGAGTCGGCAGCGCTATGAGGAAATATGAAATATCATATCAGTACAGTGAGTCAGCGCCGCTCGGCACATCACGACCTGCAGACGCAGGGTGTGTCTGCTGTGTGTCACAGCCAAACGGCCTGTACTTAACGTCACACCCACACTTAATTACATATGGACTAGAGAACACACACAACCTGAGCTGGAACACACACACACACACACACCACGCATATTGCCAATTCAAAGCCTTTGTTCCTCTTCCGAGGGAGAAAAACATTAAATCAGCAGCTTAACTTGAATCACTGATCAATAGATCAGTTTTCATACCTTGTGACAGATCGGGCCTGATCAATAGTTCTGATATTTCGTACCTGAACGTTTTTCTTGGTGTTTTAATGAGGCAGGGCGGACGGGTTGCCGTTAGAAACTGCTGCGTTGGCTTAGGATGGTTCTGGGTCTGAATCCCTCCATGAGTCTGGGTACTCGCTTGTACTCGCTGGGTACTTGTCGGTACTCGCTGGATCTAGTAGCAGTTTTGGTTTCCAGTATAAAAACACTCCTAAACTCAATAGGGATGAATAATGCAAAAACAACTTTTTCCGTCTGCAGCCATAAGTCTGATGAAAACACATGAAGCATTTCTGAATCTAAGAAAAATACAAATCTACCCCCAAGGACAAAACTCTGCATTTTAGAATCGACAACCTCAAACTGCTGAGGGTGAGAACTCAGCATTCAGTACGTCATGAACACAGGATTGATTCTCCCAGGGTTTTCTGTATTTGCTCCTCCTGTTCTCAAACTGAGTTTTGACATGAAAAAAAAAATGTTTTGAGTTTTTACTGGTGTAGTTTGTGTTGTAAATGTCTGGGCTGCTTTACTTCACATTCATTCTGCTTTATGCAGAAGCTTCAACTCTTTTAGCCTAGCACAGCTTTAACCATGCCAACAATACCCAGAGAGTACCCAGAGAGTAACGAGAGAGTACCCAGATTAGCCACAGTTGTTTCCAGGATGACCTCATAAATCAGATTAAACTCAGTGTCTTTGCAGCCCAGAGGAAGGCTGAAGGAGAAGATATGAAAGTATAATATTGGTGCGGCCCACAGGGTGAGCGGACCTCTGAAGGAAGTCCTGCCCGCCGTTCCTCATCATGGCTGACATTCGGTGCTACGCTAAGCTACACTGACTTCATGCACACTACGCTTGTAACAGCGCGGCGGATGACGAGCAGCCCGGTACCAGTGTCCTTTCTCTGTTTGATCGTGGCATTTGTTTAATATCGTTGAAAAACCGACATTTTTGAAAAATGCTGCAAACATTCAGCTCCCAGATCAAAGTAGTATAATTCACTTTAATTATTGCAGTTTTGTTTATTTATTCTGGATATTTACAATGTTGTCCAGTTCCAGCATTAAGCAATCTTTAGAAATTAAAGCTTAGTTTAATTTTAAAAGGATGTACTCGCTGCAGAGGCCTTCAGAGCGCAGCGCCAGGCCGGCCCACAGAGTTGGGTCAGCCAGCTGCTCAGTTAGCTCCCTCCTCAGCAGAAGCTGCTTAGGAGAGGCTGATGCAGGAAGTTCTGCTGGTCAGAACCAGAACCAGGATGTGATACCACAGCATCCACTGAAGCCGGTCTCTTCCTGGTTATCACAGATGACTCACTGCTGTGTTTGCAGGTTTCATCATGTTGCACACAAAGTGTTGAAGCAGAGGGCGAGAACACGACAGGCTGCTGCAACTCCTCATCGCTAGGCTTTCACTCGTCTTCCTCCCAACACAGACACTGCAGCAGCTGTTCAGAGGAACGACCCGGACCTGAAGTCATGCTCATATTTCAGCCGGACTGAATCATCAGAGGATCCTCTCTTACACAATGTTCTGGTATTCGTTCTGATTGAATCATCGCGTGTGGTTTGCTCACAAACTCAACAAATCAGACGAGTTGGGAACAATCTGGAAACTATCTTTGCGTGACAAATAAGAGGATCAGAACCACCAAACAGACCAGCAGAGCTACTGGAACCAGAACCTCCCCTAAATGGGACCAGGTCCAGGAACGCTCTGAAACAGGAAGTCAGTCATTAAAACACCAATAATCAATTTAATGTAACCCGTTTATATTTAGGAATATATCATCACTTTAGCCCAACATTTTGGACCAACTTTCTGGAAAATTTGCAATAAATTAATAACTATTTAGCCTAATTAAATGTGGCAATCTATTGATTTGCAAGAACTTAAGTGATCATGTAAAAACTTGGAGAGGCTGATCAGAAGGGGAGTGAGTCAGAGCGATTCTGGTTCTGAGTTTGTTGGATCCGAACCGACTCGCTCCAGTTAGTCCAACTCATCCGTAGGAGGAAGAAACGTTCAGATTCAACTGAAAACCCGATATTTCACAACCTGGAGGAAGCAGCCAAACGGGTCACGGCTTCCAACATGAACATCTGACTGAACGACTGTTTGACTGACTGACCAGTTGTCTCAACTCGGTACCAAACGGCTGATAAATCCCCAATCCAGCCTCTCTGATGGCTCTTTTCCAGTCCAAACCTGGACAGTCAGTAACCAAGTTCTTTTTTTTTTTTTTAAGTTTTGTTGGCTCTTGTGGCCTTTATTTGAAAGTAGTTTGACAGGAAACAGGGTAATGAGAGAGGGGAAGACATGCAGCAAATGTCGCCAGGCTGGGAGTCGAACCTGTGACCACCGCCATGAGGACTAAGACCTCAACACGTTGGTTGTGCTTTGCCCCTGCGCCACCACAGCACCCCAGTAACCAAGTCTTTAACCAGTCGGATCCATCCTCTGGTTTTACCTGGTTCAGGTGTTTCTGCCGTCAGTGGTGTAATGACTCACTGAATGATGGCAGCATTGCTTCAAACTGATTCTGATCATCATGTTTCAGCAAAAAAGATTGACAAAACTATAATCATCAACTATAATCAAGGCTGCAGAATGATGGAGGCTGGGTCAGGAAACAGCGGTACTGGATGACTTTTTAGATGAACATTTTGCTCCAGTTAATTCACTAAAGTAATGCTGGTGTTGCAGTTTAGGCAATAAAATGTTTATTTTCTTTTTTAAATGAGTAGTTTATTTGTATATTTTAATGTATTTCTACTATTGCATAAAAACTTCAGCAGTTAAATGGAAAATCTGCAGAATGTAAATTATTATCAGATTAATCATCAGAATGATCGATAACTAAACACCACAGAAAAAAAAGTTGCACTGCCGTCGTGAACAGAGGTAAATATGTTCCGTTTTCGTGGGGGATGAAGAGTTAAAAGCATAATTACCTTCATGTCGCTCATGATGAGCTGGAAAAGCCCTCCCAAGGCGCTGCATTCCTTCTCTATACCCGCATCCATTTTTCCACACGCTTCGGAAAAATCCTCCAAACACTAAACTTTTCTTCTACCTCTTACAGTAAAAGCAAGCAAACAGAAAAAGGCGTTTTTAATCCCGCTCCAAAAGAGTCAGATAGCTGTTTTTTATCCAGCAGAGGTGACTGGGTTGCAACTCAGGAGCCAAAGTCCAGCTTTTAAACAAACGGAGGAAAAAACACCAACTCTGCCGTTGGGCTGCACTCATCCGATGCTACCGGGCGGCCAGCTGGATAAACGCCCGGAACAACAACACATCCTGGCTAGAGACTCCAGCACTCTCCGGGAAAGTCTGACCGGGTTTCTACGGTTAACCCTGGCGAGTAGCAGTCCCAGAAACCGGGAGAAGCGGCTCTCAAGCCCCGCTGCCTGCTAACTCTGCTAGCCTCGGTTAGCGTAAACTCCGCTAGCAACCTGTGACTGTGCACGAGTCCGAACGGAACACGCACTCACGTTGACGCGTCCAAACGCACGGTTCGATCCGGATCAATCACTGCGACCGGATTCACCGGTCCGGGAGCCTCTCTGCGATCCGGCGGGACTCTTTACTGCCGACTGTGTTTGTATCCAGAAGAGCAGCGGGATAATTTATTTTCCAGCGAATTTTGGTCGACAGAAGCAGCCGCGTCCCTCTCGCTGCCCTAACAGGAGTCCTAACCTGAACTGAATGAGATTCTCCCGGAGACCCCGTCAAGGCACTCGCGTTTACAAGCACCACATCCCCTGCGGGGTTTCAAAATAAAAGCCTACAGCTAACCACAAACAACTGACATAAAATTGACGACCCACAAATATAACTCTGAAAATTACGAAAGAAAAGCAGCGCAGATAAAACTAGCCAATCAGTGTTTGAATTGAAGAAACACTGTAGAAACTTCCACTGCAGAAAAACGTTTGGCCACTTCACTGCATCCCCAGCCAGACAGGGCTTTATATAAGATGTAAGATAACTTAGTGTATTGTAAAGTACAGTGTGAGACATCAGGAAAATTCTGTCCTGTTTTTGTGTGATACCCCTAGGATTATGAGTTATACATTAGCTTCACAACTAATAAAATAAAAAAGTGGTACATTTACTTTGAAAGCCTTGAGACTTCCTGTCTGCGGTGCAAGGTGGCGGATTGTTTGTTTTGCGTCTCAAAGCCCGCGGTCCAGGGGGCGGAGCCACGGAGGATCAGGAAAGTTAAGGTATTAATAAAAATGGAAATGTGTCCTTTTTGGCCCTCCGTATACCTGCAGTTTAGTTTCCAGTAGCCTCACATTTTATTTGGAAGCATTTTTAGTCTTGTGCAGAAATCTATGTTTGGGTTTAGTGAAATAATAAATTAAAATATTTTTATAGTCTTCATGATCTGTTCACATTTTGATAAAACTTTCTCAGGTGGATGATGAATAATTCACTCTTTCCCATTGATAGTCACTAAAATGTTTTTCAGTCAAATCAAATATCCAACTTTATGAAACATTTCAATCATCAATCTTGTAAATTAGATAAAATTTGAAAAGTGTTTGACTCATTTGCTTTGTTATGCTACATCTAAACCTTTATTGTAGCTGTTATATATGTGTGTGTGTGTGTGTGTGTGTGTGTGTGTGTGTATAACCATGGTAACGTGACCCTGAGGTCCTAAACATCCAGGTTGGTTGTGTATTTCTGATTCACCCGGCAACAAGCTGAGTCACCGCCTCATCGCTACGCTGGTTGCCATGGTGACAGGCACGCGGCGCGGGCTCGGGTTTGTGTGAATGAACTGCTGAGTCACAGGATCAGCAGCCGCCAAACAGTGGTGCGGTTTCCATGGAAACCAAGAGTCCGACAGGAGAAGGAGACCAAACACCAGGAAGAAGGTGGTGATGCTCCTCCTGAAGCGGAAAACTAGAGAGAAAACAGATTGGTGGCACCAAGGCGAACTGCTCCTCCAACCCTTACCTGGTAAAATGATAGTTTAATTATTAGATAAAGTTACATGTTAAAAGCCCTGAAGGTGCGAGACTGAGGCAGGAACCTATCAGGTCATCTGTTTCTTCAGATCAGCCCTCAGTCTATCCGGAGCTTAGTGAGGGATTCATTGTTGCTGTTCTGTTTGTTTCATCTGGATGTCTGTTATCACGCTGTGAAACACTGCCACCGGGTGGGTGAACTGTGTCACTACATCATCCATCGGGGTCACGAAGGGTGCTGGTGCCTCTCCAGAGGTCAACGGGCGGGATCACCCTGGACAGGTCACCAGTTCATCGCAGGGCAGCACACACACACACACACACACACACACACGCGAAGAATTTATATAGACCAATTAACCTGACAGTCATCTTTTTGGACTGGGAGGAAGCTGGAGAGAGCCCACCATGCACAGAGAGAACATCCAAACTCAATGCAGAAAGACCAGGGCCGGGAGTCGAACCCAAAACCTTCTGCTGCAAGGCAACAGCTCTACCAACTACACCACTGTCACATATGAAGAGAAATATTTCAACACAGAAACCGAAATTAGACTATCTGAATTACATAAATACAAATAAACAGCTCAATAAATAACAAATATATTAATTTTAACTTAGATCTTTAAATAATATTCAGTTAAACATTCAAGATAGATGTGTGAAATGATTTTTAAACCTTTTCAGAGACGTCAGGCTGATTTAAACCCAGGACCTTCCAGCTGCAAGGCAGCAGAGTGACTGATCCACATCCAGGGAAGAATATGAAGACTGGAACAAAAATACTTACTCTGGTCACATTTGTCTATGCTAACAGATTTTTGCCACAGGTGTCAAACTCCAGTCCTGGAGGGCCGCTGTCCTGCAGCTTTTAGATGTTCCTCTGCTGCACCACCTGAATAGAATAATTAGGTCATTAGCAAGGCTCTGGGGAGCTGATCTACACAAGGAGGTAATTAAGCCGTTTCATTCCAGTGTTTTGTACCTGTGGCACATCTAAAAACTGCAGGACAGCAGAGGACTGGAGTTTGACACCCCTGCTTTAAGCAATTAAATTACTAACAAAAACACCTTCAGAAGCAATAAGCATGGATATAAAACTAAAATTAGATCCCATTTGCATAATAATGATAATAATAATAACAACAATAATAATAAATGCATTTTATTTATAATCCCCTTTTCATCTGTAGATTACAGCAAAACAGCAATTACAATCGATAAAACTAATTAAATAAATAAGTAGAAGCTAAAATAAAAATCTAAGAAAGTGCACCAACTATTATTGCTAAAAAGAAGTAACAATAAATGATAAAATAGTTGTCGTAAAGAGTAAAAAGTGAAATAATTATTTTATGTATTGTGACTCATATGTCCTACAGTAAATTAAGGTAACGCGAGATGTTTTATGAACCCTTCAAACCGGAAAGAAAAGTCTGATCCTGATCGGTGACTGCTGCCACCTACAGGTCAAGAATCAAACAGCACCTTGGAGTTTTTCATTGTGTTTGATATCCAGCGTGTCTGTGCGGTTTCCCCCGCAGGTCCCGCAGTCAGCGGCTTCCAGAGGGAAACATGGCCTCCATCAGAGAGCGAGCTGCGGCCCTGAAGCTGCCAGAGAAGCTGCGGGCTTTTTCTCCTCCAGGTGAGTTCAGGAAAAGTCGCTTTTAGACTCTCTGCTGGCAGCAGCAGGAGGCCTGAGCTGCGTTTTCTGGCCTAGTTAATGAGAAAATGAAGGGAAACTTGATTTAATTTAGAGAATGTTTCAAAGTGCTTGATTTGATCATTGTCAACGCATTCTCTGTTTCTGCTTTAAGCCTAAACCTGAGTTTTTCCCCATTCTCTTAACAATAAGTTGTTTTTCTGATCCTGCAGTTAGAGGTGCAGCTCGTTTACCTGCAACGGCCACAAAAAGTTAATTTATTGGGAAAAAAAAGTCATTAAAAAGTAATATTTTTAAGTGTTTAAGTGATTCTTAGAAACTTTTGATTTACATAAAGTAATGAAAAAAAGTGTAAACACAGAAATATAACAGCTGATACAACCATGGGGAAGATGGCTGACTTCAGTCACAGTCAACAGTTCTGGGTATCAGAGGGGAAAGTTCAGTGGAGGGAAAACAATGTGTTATAAGGAAAACAATCTGGAACTAGAACGTTTTAAATCAACAACACAGACTTACTGAAAACAAGCTCCTATCTTTCTGAAAAGTTACTTGTTAGTTTTATATATTTGCACTAAAAAATCCCGGGAAAAAAAATATCCTGTGTTTCTGTGTCTCTGGAGTGAAAACAGCGCAGGTATCCTCCATCTGGAGCGACCTCATCGCCCACCTGAGGTCAAAGGTGAGGGTGAAGCGCCGACTGGTCCAGTTCAAGGCCCACAGCGACTGCTTCGTCGGCTCCGAGGCCGTGGACGTCCTGCTGCAGCACGCCGCTAACGCTAACTGCCTGCAGGGTGAGTCCGCTCCACGTTTTACATCTGGCTGGTGTGCAGTGACTATCAGAAAGTTCCAATCCTCAGAAGCAAAGGGCTGTTTCACTTTTTACTACGGTGGCCAACATGTGCAAACGCACAGCAACAGCAGGGCCGGCCCAAGGCATAAGCAGACGTTTAGGCCCCTAGGGCCAATGAGAGGCCCCCTCAATGGCGTTGAATTTATTTATTTTTTAGTAATAATTTCTATGTCATTGTAATATCAAAAACACACAATTTCACTATGAAGTTACTTGTTTTCACAATAATATATATTTAATTTAGGGTTGCCACCCTAAATTAAATGTATTTAATTTAGGGTGGCAACCCATATGGCAACCCATATGGCAACCCATATGAACCCATATGGGTTCATATGGGTTCATATGGGTTCATATGGGCCAGTTCATATGGGCCTAGTCTCCGGCTAGCTGCTGCCGCCTAGTCTCCGGCTAGAAGCTGCCCAGTCTCCGGCTAGCTTCCTCCATCTCGGTGTTATGTTGCTTAGCAGCCGTGACAACGTGAAGCACAGAGCGGCGAAGGAGAATAAATGGACGCGAAGTTTGTTTTTTTTACTCTATTTCTGTATCATTCTTCACCTTTTGTAATAAAGTGTGGACGACCAAAACCGACATAATAAGAAATAAAATAATAAATATATAAATAAAAGAATAAATGAATAAATGTATATTTTGATAAATAAAAGCATAAATATATTTTTGGAAGACCAAAACTGACATAATAAGAAATAAAATAATAAATATATAAATAAAGGAATAAATAAAAGCATAAATATATATTTAATTTTTCCTTTTCCTTACACGAGTTTCCGTCAAGTAATGTATATATTTTCTTTATCATTTCCCCTAAACGTTTTTGTCAAGAAAAATAGATATTTTGCTTTGTCTTTTTTTGCTTCTCCCTTTTCTGCTCGCTGTATTTCTGCTGCATCGTTATGTTAATGAGGAGAGCCGCCTTCCATGTCTGCTATTGGCCAGTGGAGCTTTGGGACCAACGTCACTGCGTCAGACGTTGTGGGGCGTTTAGGTCCAGTCGCTCGGCGCCATCTTTACAGGCCACAGACCAAAACAGACTTTATCCCAGTGGCTTTATTGTTACCGACTGCAGTGACGTTAGTTGTGAGTTGGATATTCCAATATCCGCCGAGTAAGCGGCGTTTAGCTCAAGGTTGATCCGATTTATGAGCGCTAACTTCGGCCAGCCGTTCTCCAGCTTCCTCCTCAGCGCTCGGAGGTTCACTTAGGGCTGTCAACAAATTTCTGAAATATATAA